CATCGTATAAAATGGAAATTAAAAATTAAAAAATCAATACCTATGCGAAAAAAAAATTAATTAATGTGTCAAAAAGCTAATTTTCCTCTTGTGATGTAATTTGTTCTTGAAAAAAATCGTTGTAGCCACGTCAGATCCAGGCCATTTAATAAAAGTATTTTTATGTTCAACATTTTCACGGGAAGGATTTGTTGTAAAATGAACAAGAGATTGTAAAAAGGAATTGTTCTCTTTATTTATAATTAAAAGCGAAAGAAATCACAAGAATTTTCAATGAACGCATTTTAAATTTAATATTTCTTATAAATGCAACATTAATATTTAATATTAATTTTTTTAAATTGGAAGTTAATTTTTATTTGAAAATTTTAAAATCCTTGTATTTCTGCGAAAAATGTAAGAGAGTTAGCCTAGTTACTATCAAATAAAAAATCATTGTAGTTATCAGATAAACCTAAAATACGTGTATAAAACAGATATCCTTAAAAATTTTCTAACTGGAAAAGAAGAATGTATTCTGGTAAGTGTGAGTTGACTCATCGTCATGTTAGCTTTTAAATCGAATAAATTATACACTCTAGTATTTTCAGAAATATTGTTTATTTATATAAATTTTCTAGAATTTTGAACTCTTTATGCTACAGATATTCAGACTGGAATCTGCAGCATCATATCTCAGTTTCTTAATTGTTCGTTAAAAAGTGCTAAAAGTATATTTAGAAATAATTAACCAACAGTATCCTGCAGAGTTTGCTATAAAAACAACCCGCTGTTTAACAACAGCAAAATGTGTTTATCATAATCACAAAAGTTTCATTCAGATCGATACGCGAGCACAATGTAATACCTGGTTTTGCATATATCTATAACGCTTTAAAAGAAACAAAAAACGCTAATTGTGCGATTCAGTCTTAAACCATTGACTGCAGAGCCAGAAATTACTTTGTTAGCATCGTTTTTTGAGCTAATTTGCTCTATTTCTTAATCATTTTGAAACAGCGAGTACTTCGCGAAGTTGTTGCCGTCGTAAGTCTTCTCGTACCCTCATTCAGCGACGCAGTAGTGTGCTGCGCAAGGATTTCCACTAAGTTATTTCCTTCTCAGGCTTCCTGTAAAATCATAAAGTGACACAGTAGTGTGCTACTGCAAACATTGAAATTCGCTGTTTCAATACGTTGGCTTGAAAACTGGTCTTTTCTTTCGCAAATTATCGGTGTCTTCTCGAGATTAACCTCCGTGTCTATGAATGTAATGAAATTCTTAGAGATATTTCCTTTATATTACAAACATAAAAACACAAATGCATATCCATCATAAAAACAGCAAAATTAACCGAACTTAGTTCTATTTGTAACGAAATATTTGCATATAATAGGAAGAGAAAAAAACAGGCCAATGTAAAATTCAAAAATAATTAAAAACTAAGCATCAAAATCTATCATTGTGTCACTTTTTACCTAATTTTAAGTATTTGAATTAAATATAAATTTGTTTATATTTCTTTCACAATCCGTTTCTAATTCGACTTGAGCTATGTGCCGCGCGATTGACGTAAGAAGATTTTGAACTGAAATGAAGAGAAGGCTTTGTTGTTATTTTCGAGTTGCGCAATTTCTGCTTTTGGCGCGATGTAGTAAAACGTGTAAGTTTGTGGTAGAGTTTGTGTGAATAAACCATTAATAGTGTAAATCCAGATGAACTTAATCGAAAAGAAGATAAATTCTAATTGATAATTTTGTTACTTCTTTCGGGGATTAAATTCGGATATATTATGCCTAAAAATATGTTTAACGGCGAAGTTGGTGTGAGTTGATGCGATGTGATTTGAATAACTGATCGGTATAATTAATACCCACATAGACTTTATTTTATGGACCTTTTTGCGAGGTACAGTCTATGTTTACACTTTTAGGAGCATTTTAGGGCATCAATAAGTATGCATAATCACATGCACAAAACAACAACAACGACAGGAAAAAAAAAGAAAAGATTTTTCTGACTACTTGAATAATTCAATTTTTGCAAAGGATTCTCTTCTGCGTCTTAATATCATATGGGCTTTTAATCAGATTTTTTTTTCTTAATAGCCAACGAAAAATATTTGATACATGGTATACATTGATTGCCATGTTACCTCATAAATTTTAAAAGTTTTGAAATATTGTATTTAGTTCTTAGTTGAAATTTCCCTTTTGCTTTGGCTTATCTTATTTAATATGCTGTTTGTCTTAAAAAGTAATAAGCATCTTGTAATGGTTATCAGAAACACATATGCCTATTAAAAAAAATAAAAAATGTATCAAATTTTTTTCGTATATTAATTAAATTTATGAGGCTTTACGCAAACTCCTTTTATCTAAACTTCGTTTATTTTAATGAAAGCACAGTTATAAAAATCGTAAGGTACTTCTTCATGTAATTAAATAAATGAAAGTCCATAAGTAATATTTGAAAATAATTGAATGCTTCTAAATGTAAAATGAGCTAAAGTGCAGTTGACTTAGTGTATGGTATATTTTACAAGAATTTGGAGTGTTTAATATGCTACATACATAATCTTTCAGTTATCCTGTTTCTAGTAAACTTCAGCTGTAATAAATAAAACTCAAATATTTTTGATATTTTATTGGAAAATAAAAACTGAACATTAGTGCAAATTTCAAAAGGTAATTTGGGTAAAAATTCAAAATGTATTTTTTGGGGAAAGACGCGTCAGAAAGAAAGAAGACCCTTGCGGTTGATCTTTACATTATGGTAACTGGTAGTTTGGCGACATTTTGGAGGCGATAAAGGTTACTACCTGGGACTTTGGTAATAATGTGAGCAGTACTGAGTTCCGATTACGCATTATTTTGTGTGGGGGAAATGAGAGATCATGGGATATGTCATGTGATATTAATGGACGAATTACGGTTCTTTAATCGGAAAAGGGGGGAAATCCGGAAAAAATCTGGAAATTTTGTATTTGGCTTTATTCTGTGTTGTGTGAAATAGTGTTTGTGAATTTTTGGATCCCATGGCCGTAAGTAAAGTGAATTCGAAATGGGTATTTAGTGGTATTAAAAAGGATAGTAAGAAATGTTTTTTAAGGTTGTGTGAGAGAGAAATAAACATGTTTTATTATGTTATTTATTTTACCTGGTATCTTGCTTTGAAAGATAAGTATGATTTTAAAGATTCTGAAAGAGAATGAAGAAAAGTGTATCCGCCACGTAATGAAGATTCTGAAGGAGATTAGGTAAGTTAGTATTTTTAATTATTTTTATGCATTGTTGGAAATGTAAGGTGGAAAGGAATTTGGTATTATTGGGAAAATTGTTATTAGCAATGATTTAGTTTTAAAGTAATTAGGATTGTAAGGTAATTTTTATTAATTGAATGTATGTGCTCATGTATATTTTAAGTGGTGTTTTTGAATTTAATTATATTTTAATGAAATGATAGTTATTTTGTGAATTTTATACTTGTAGGAATTTGGTGTATGTTTAAGTTGAAATAAATGTGCATGGAAATAATTTAAATATTTGATAATAAATATTTGTAATGCTTCATGTATGAATTCGTTGGTGACGTGTATAATGTAATAGATGATTTAGAGGTAAAAGTTTTTGGATATTTTATTTATTTTTATATGTGGAAATGTTCATATTTGTAAAGGGTAAATACTTTTTCGCGATCATGTAATTTCATATATGTTCTTTTTACCGGGTTTAAAGATTGAGAAAATTGTCATGTATTTTCGTGAAATTTTTTTAATTTATGAGATAAAAGCAGTGTACATGGATATAGTGAAGAGTGTGCGCAATGCCATTTTTGTGCAATTCTGGGATGTTTTTTTAAGTAAAAATAAGTCGACGTGTACATGGTTCAGTGATATTTTAATGAAATGATAGTTATTTTGTGAATTTTATGCTTGTAGGAATTTGGTTTACGTTTAAGTTGAAATAAACGTGCATGGAAATAATTTAAATATTTGATACTAAGTATTTGTAATGCTTCATGTATGAATTCGTTGGTGACGTGTATAATGTAATAGATGATTTAGAGGTAAAAGTTTTTTGGATATTTTATTTATTTTATATGTGGAAATGTTCATATTTGTAAAGGGTAAATACTTTTTCGCGATCAGGTAATTTCATATATGTTCTTTTTACCGGGTTTAAAGATTGAGAAAATTGTCATGTATTTTCGTGAAATTTTTCTAATTTATGAGAAAAAAGCAGTGTACATGGATATAGTGAAGAGTGTGCGCAATGCCATTTTTGTGCAATTCTGGGATGTTTTTTTAAGTAAAAATAAGTCGGCGTGTACATGGTTTATGTGTATGTGTTATTTTGAAAAACGCGTAAGGTGTATGGTATTGTGCACTTTTTCCCAATTTTGCAGTGAATATTTGTCATGATTAAGCAGTTTTGTTTGATAAAATTTCTAGCATAAGTGTAATTCGGCTAGTAGATTGTTGGAAGAAGTGTTCAGTAGATAAGAAGAAAAGAAACATGTCTTTACTTCGTGAAGACAAAATGGCGGCGGGGAAAAAAAAAATAGAGGGTTGCTGTAGGGGAGTTGGTCGCCAAATTTTCGCCAAAAAAATCGCCAAGTTACCGTAATGTAAAGATCAACCACCCTTGCCTCTAAATAGAATGTATAAGTTCTATAAATTGTTTAAAATAAGGATAATGAATTCGCTATAATAAGTGCATCAAACTACATGATTTTAACAAGCTTATAAATCAACATATTTCTTATTTTTAATTGTTTAAATCCAGATTATGTCCTACTTTAACAGTGTGTAATATTTGTTCGTTTTCTTAAAATGGTATTTTTATAATCTGTGATTTCAGAAACTTGAAACATTATGTAATATTTGACCTGATTTTTTGTAAATCCTTAAAAATTCTGTGCTTTGTTAAAAACTTATGAAAAGAGAATTTTAAATTGGCAAAATTGGATAATACATTTGATATTTATTTAAAATAATTGATAATGAAATGTGTTTTCAGCTGCAAAGGGTTCTTTAAAAGGACAGTACAAAACAAAAGAGTATATACTTGTGTAGCTGATGGTAATTGTGAAGTCACCAAAGCGCAAAGAAATCGTTGTCAGTACTGTCGCTTCCAGAAGTGTGTCAGGCAAGGAATGGTCCTAGCAGGTAAGAGCTTGAAGTTCATAAAGTGCTGTAAAGATTGTAATTGTAATTATTGTGATCTCATAGTGTATGTATTATTAAAAAATATCTGAAAGTCTTGCATGCTGGAGATAATTTTTCACCCCCTGTACAGTATTGCCATTCCTCACTTTGAAATCATTGAGTTTGTCAATCAAAAATTGTTTAAAGTTTTACAAAATATGAAATAGCTAATAAAACAAATTCCAAATTAGGGTTTTCAGATGCCCATATTTGGGTTGAGGATTTTGTTATTCAAAATTTTAGGGCTCTAGATACCATTGTTTTATCACAATTTGAGAAACATACATACATTTATGCAGATTCTTCATTATTTAATTTCTTTAAATATAATACAGAATGAGAATATTTGGAGGCAACAATTTGAAAAGTGATTCAACACATTTGAGTTTTCAATTCAAAATGCCAAAACAAAATTAAGTGACCTGGGCAAAATAGCCCCTTTGGTCAAAAATAAAAAAGTTCATGTATATTAACTATGCATGTTATGTTACATGTTGAAACATTAGTCATAATGATATATAATGTATAGAAACTCTAAGTTTACAGATATTTTTAAAAATATAACACAAATTTTATATTATATTAATATTATATTTTGATATACAAGCCTTTACTTGCTTAAAGTGCATATAACTCATATTTGCTTGTAGTCCAAATATGCATCAGAAGAGATTGCAGAATGATCTCCTTTTTAAATGTATTTTTTATTGGCAAATAAGGGATGAGTTGGCAGCAGTGAGTTTTCTCAAAAAGATTGCCAAACTATCAGTATTAATTATAACTCAGCAAATATTATAAATCTGTTAACAGAATATAATTTAAAATAAAGTTTGAATTGTTGAATAAGGATTGTTATGATACATTAAATGTTATACATATAGTGTTGTTTGATATAGTACTGTTGTTCACCTCGTGTACACAGAGACTCATCAGCGGCTGAGTAGTAAAGTTGCAAAACAGTAGTAGTTCTATCTGGGGTTTGAATCCCAGCAAACAGGCCGGCTGCATTGACATTTTCATAGGTTTCCACATGTGTCATGCATGTATGAACCAGTTTTTTTAAAAAAGTCTTCCACAAAGGCATCCCTTCCATTAAGCAGATAGCCCTCATGTGCTTTGCCATAATCAAATAAACCAAACTAACCACATGTACATAGCAATCTGTTTTCACTTATGTAAATTTAAAAATAAAATGTAAATTTGCACAAATTTATGGTGTTTTCATGTAGAATGCATGTTCTATTTGCAGCTCAGTATAGTACTTTCAGTCAGGCCCAACTCCACCATTTACTGCACTCTACGGGATCAGAACAATATGCATTTCATATGCATTAAATACATTAAGAATTCATAGTAAAATATATCTTTAGTTGTCATTTTTGGGATGTATCTGATGTCATATGTGAGTAAAAAGAGTAATTATCATCATTTGTTTACATTAAGAAATAAATGATAGTTTTTGCACTTCACATAAATTTAAACATATTAAGAATTCACATTGAAATATACTTTTCGTTTTCATTTATAATAGAAACCTAGCTTTGTGTCTGGTGTCGTTTGGGAGTGAAAAAGATAATTATCCACATTTGTTAATAGGAAATTAATGATATTTTTTGGGAGGGGTTCTATTTTATTGTTACATTCATATTTATTTCATTATCTCTCATTATCCTTTATTTATATTTAATGTTTCAACATATGCCTTTATCTGCCTTGAGTTTATAAAGTAATATGCATTACAACTTTTTAAAAAGATAATAAAGTTTCTAAAATAGTTATGTAAATGTTGTACGTTAGAATCTTTTAATGGAAGCATGATTGTATATGAATATAGTTCCTAAATAGTATATTCGGATTTTTTTCAGCTGTGCGAGAAGATCGGATGCCAGGAGGGCGAAATTCGGGAGCTGTATATAATTTGTACAAGGTATGTCCAGTGTCTGTTAGAAAAATATATATTGTAATTTATTTTCAAATTATATATAGCATTAAATTTGTAAATTTTAGAAGTTGTTATTTTGCAATATTTGCAAGTAATTTTAATATCAGTAATTCTCTTCCATTTTACATAACACCTCCTAGTGGGTAAGGTTACCGAATGCAGTATTTGCACCTCTGTGACGATATGTGCTGGATATATGCCTTCTTATAATTTTCACCATCTGTAAATAAGAGTTGGTTTTCTGAAGAAAATTCTCAGAGAAAAATAGAAAATTCTTATGAAATATTTAATAAGCAAAAATGGCATAAAGTCAAAAAAGAAATACCATGAATTAAAGTGAAAATTACTTATACATTAAAAAAATCTATGAATTCATACCAAGTAATGCCAAAAGCTGGAACAGTGTAAACAACCCAAATAAGAAGAAGTAGCATGCACAGAATGTAATTTTACCTTCTAAAAATTGGGAAGTCAGAAAGTGGAATGGAATTCTTAGAAATAATGGAATGATAACAGTTTGTCAAGTTGAATCTGTTGAAATTTAGTAGTGGGACACTAAGATAGAAAGATCTTATCGTACTGTGTATCTTTTAGGCCAGTGCACCTATAGTTTTTAGATTTGTTTGGTCTATTGTTAAATGTTGAGGTCTATTTTGGCTAATGTGAAAGACTTAAGGTACACAAATGTGTTGACTGCTTATACTGACACATTTGTGTACATTACAGTTCTTCACAGGATATCAAAATATCCTACAGAAGTACTGCATGCTCTTTCAAAATTAATCTTTTTTTGCAGTCATTGCATACAAGAAATGCTGAATAGTATATTTGCTTCTGTCTGTTTTTTATAACAGCTAAAGTCATTTTCAGATTTATTTCATTTACTGAAAATGATGCTAATATTAATTTTGTTTTCCCCTTTGTAAAAGCAGTGCTGTGTAGTGAACTTTTTTAAAGCAAGGAGTATATGTAATCTTCAAGTGCTTATTGTTTGGAACATGGGAGATACCAGGCTTTTGGTTGCATCAAAATTTCTGTGTAAGAACTGTGGAAGGAACATTTGTACCTATAAAAAGGTACAGTCCTACTGTAATAAGTATTCTTGTGAAATTTCTTGGTACAAGAACTGTATGTACCTTGGAATCTTAGACTACAGATTTACATAATCTTTCCATATTATAAACTGTAGGAGTTTCAAGTAGCAATTTTTTTTAGATACTTATGTGTTATCTCAACCACCCAAGAAGAAGTCGCCAGATATTCAGAATGTGCCAAACTCCATCAATCATGCTCATTAACAGTTCTTCAGTCAAGCAACTTTGCTATTTTTGGGGAAGGGGGGTGTGTATTCTAAGTTTCAATAGTTTTCAGAAATAAATTGTAATATTGTTTCCCTTAACTGTAAAATATGCATGTGTGGAATTTGCCAATAATGAAAGAAGCTGCCATGCAGAATTTTGCCATAAAATCTCCAAAGGGAACAACGAAGAGATGCGTTTGGTAGGTAACTGCTGTTGCTGAGGTTTGTGCAATAGAAGAATTCTCTGATGCTTTTTCAAACAAAAACAGATCGCTGTGTAATGGGGGAAAACAGTGAAAAATATTTGGAAAAGAATGTAAATGTTTGTAATATATTGATGCTTTTTCATCTGTAAAAATTGCCAAATTGCATCAAGGTGGTTGCTCTGATATGTAAGTACCTTTTCCCAAATGCTCAGTGCAGCTTAGTTGCAAGTAATACATTTAGCCTGAATTAAATAGTTTACAGTTCTGATAGCATCTAGTGGGAGAATATAATGTGTAATTGCTTACCAGATTATTAAGCTTAATTTTCATCTAACATTCTTCTCTAAGCAATTTTCTGTACTTAAGTTATCAAGTTTAAGAAATGTAACATTTGGACAAATCTTTCAAATTTAGTTCCTGAAGTTACTGGAAGTGATCAAGTTTTTGTATTTCAGTCTCATCAATAACAGATTTTAGTTTCTTGAACAGGTTTAACAAGCAAAAAATTTCTTTACTATCTTTCTTTAAAACTATTGTTAGAACACTAAATGCAGTATACCGGGTGAGTCTGTAACATCTAAAAGTCTGTTAACATTTGAAAATTCAATAATTCACTGGATAATGTAGGTATAGAGTTAAAAACTGAAACACATGCTTGAAATGTCACGGAGTTTTATTGAAAGCAGAAAAATGTGCTTAAAACAGTTGATAGATGGTGCTTCATATGATAACAAAAGCAATAATTAGCATAACAATTGATTTTTAGCAAAGACTATAATCTTTATAACACATTTTCAACATGTCATCCGCCATTCATCAACAATACCTCTAGCTGAGGGACAGTGTTGTGAACAGCACTGTACAGCATATCTGTAGGTGTGGTTAGAAATTGCTGTCAGGTGTTGTATTTTAGTATACTTTAGCTTAGGGGTCTCCAAACTACCACCAGTATCATCAATCCAGCTAATGGTTTATTATTGCTATTTTTGCTGCGATAAATTGGATTAAAAAAAACACAGAATAATAATAACTCAGTTTTATTTATTTGCTGGGCAAAGTTTAACTGCAAGTGTCCACTTGTAAAAAATACTAATGAGATTTTCCACTGACGATAGTTTGCAGTTGTGGACCAGTTTTATTTGTGCCAATTATTAAAAGAGATTTAAGATGCTCATCAGTTAACTTCTCTCTTTAACCATTCTTTGTGTACTTCCTTTTGGAGAATGTTTTCTCACACAAGTAAATAGTACCAAAAACAGAAAACAGCCCATGAGCAACTTATTTTGTATTTTTTTATGTTATTTTCTGCATTAATTCTTCAGTCAGGATTAATAGTAATAATGTTTTGTATGAAATTTGTATCTTTGCTTACTATCATTTGTATCTTTGCTTACTAAAAAGTCGTTTTATAACATATACCAGTTCATTGTGAAATTTTTTTATTTTTAAATTGATTGAGATTCACAGTTTTAAAATTGTCTGTAGCTTATGAAATATCCTATTTTTACTTTTAATGCATTATTTCCAGGTAAAGTATAAGAAGCATCGCCGTGGTCAGAAGAATGGTCATCTTACACAAGAGCAGCAACAGCAGTCATCACTTCCATCTCCTAATCCACGTCTTTCAGTAAGTCATCAAGACTGGGCAAATGGCCAGATTCTAAAGACTGCTCTCACGAGCCCTGCTGATGTTGTTCATCTGAGACATAGAAGTGAAAACTGTGTAACTAGTTCACGACAAGACAATAGAATGACGACAGAACAAGCATGTGCCATGATTCGGCAGTTGGTAGACTGTGATGCCTTTGAGGATGTGGCTAAGCTAAAAAATGCAAAAGAATTCTTACAATGCAAATTGGGACTCAATGATAAGCTCTGTCATATAGGGGACAACATTGTGTATAAGTTGGTGCAGTGGACCAAGCGATTGCCTTTCTATCATGAGCTGCCAGTTGCCATTCATACGCAGGTACACAGTTAGAATTTAAACTGCTCATTGATTTCATTTTTATGTATTTCAAAATAACACTAAAGGTTTTATTTTTGAGTAGTATTTGTAATTTATTGTGTGCATGCTTTTAAATGCATATATGTTTTCAGTACTTTCTGATCTGCACTCACACTTTCAGTACTCAGTAGAACTGGTATGTTTTGTAGAATCTGGTGTATTTTTAAAATTATACACACGATAACCATTCAACATATGCATGTACCATACGTGTTTGAGTATGTGTGGATTTATAGTGGTTTCTATTAAGGAAGAGTAATCAGTGTCTGTAAAAATATAAATTTCAGTTGCGTAGATTTTTCGTTTTTTCTCATAAAATTTCATGTTTCTTACAAAATGCTTCTTTTATTATTTATGAGCCATAAAGATAGCCAAACGAACATTTTACATTGATTCACAAAGTTGCCAGCGAGTTGGTGAGCTTTCATGGGGGTTTTGAATAATCAGAAAGTACTATATTTTTAATATAAATATGTGATAATAAAAATGATTTTTTTGTCAGAATTATAAACATCCATTTGACATCCATCCATTCTTTGGAATGAGCTGCATATGAGTATGGTAATTGCTGGTGGAATGTGATGCGTATGGAATGACAATAATTAAAAACAGTATTTTTAATGTCTGGTTTTTGAAATATATGCCATCCATAAGATTTTCACATCCACAAAATATTAAATACTTTTATTTTCTACTTCTTGGACAAACACATATTAGCAATATAGTCCTTTACTTTTTAAACCATTCCTTTAATCTCTGCTTGTAAAATTCGCAGAGACAATAAGAAAAGATTATTTTGATAGTCACTGCTGCTTTTAGGATGCACTCTAGTAGAATTTCTGCATCAGGGAAGTAAGAGGATGTTTCCACCATTCAGCATTGATCCTCTTCCTCCTACTACCCACAAAAAAAAAAAAAAAAAAAAAAAAAAAAAAAAAAAAAAAAAAAAGTTTACCTTTTTGATCAGTTTCAGCCTAGTTTTCAAATGAAACTTTGTCTTCAATTCAGAATTCATTTAACTAAGATGTGATTTTTCATGCGATTTCTGCCCTTATTTTTATTTGCTTTTCAAGTACATGTCTCATTTCATAAAAACAATTATATTACCATTATTTCTGTTTTAATAAAATACAATAATAAAATATAATCTGTATAAATGTTACTACAGTCTTACCAAAAAGAGTATTTTGGCCGTGGCTGCCAGTAGCTTACCTCTTTTAGTAGAAGAATTTTTAGCATGTTAAAAAATATATCTTGTCCAGTAAAAGTTTTTTACAAATAACAAATGAACTTTTAATCCATAAGGACTTTCGATTTCCTTTCTGAATTCATTTTTTGGCACGTGACGTAATCAAATATCTAAAAATTGTTATATAATCCATTAAAAATTATATGAAGAAAGAAAATGTTATATGAAATAATTTGCTATAACTGAAAATAATTTTAGCAAAATAATAAAGATACAGTTCTGTTATAAAGGGCCGTAAAAAACTGCCAAACTACTGTTGATGCCGATGCTGCCAAAAATAATTACGGTAACCCTAATACAAGAAAGGAAACATAATAGTAAATAGCTTTTTAAGATTATTGTTTTTGTTTGGATGAAAGGTCAGTTTCATATAAATACAATTTTTTTTATTATAATTTAGAAACAAAAAGCTAAACATAACTGAAATTAAACGGGAGATATAATTTTGTCTTCCAACATAGGAGAGAATATTTCAGTTCTTTTTTGTGCAAGCGTCTGTACATAAACTTGGACAAATAATAATTGAAATGCTGTCGAGCAGTGCGACTTTTATTTCGCCATTTAGCACTGCCCCACAGCCGCTGTACGGTTTTTCTATGGCCAGTGGCGTAGCTAGGGTAAGGCAAGGGGAGACATCTGTCCCCAGGCACAGCGTCCAAGGGGTGCCAGATTGATCCTACAAAATTTTTTAATTAAATGTTTTCCATTCTTGGCACATAGAAAGGGGCACAAATTTTTCAGTTGTCCCTGGGCGCTGGAAACTCTAGCTACGCCCCTGTCTATGGCACTCACGTTTGGGGGTCCACAAAATTGTAATTGTGATTGACAGTAAAATGTTCAAAACTGGCATTTTGCAGTTCATCTGACTTGTATGATTTCAAGCAGTCAGTATAAATAATGTTTCCTTTTGCGATATTTTCTTTTATGACGTTCCGTAAAGCGACGGAATAGCGATTAAGAAGAAACATTCATTTGATTCTTTGCATAATCCTCCGAAAACACATTGGAGCGGAAGATATCGTCCAACGTTATTCTTTCTTCTACTAAAAAGGCTTTTGTCTACTTCAATAATTTTGTCCCATCCGCCAATTTTCAAGTAATGCTGAGTAAATAAAGTTGCGGCACACACCTCACGCATGTAACTGTATAATAAAGTGCTTTTAAATTAATTTGTGTCTCTGTTTGTGAAATGAGTTATGAGCATTTTGCATATTTATTGATGGTTAGTTTATAATCACTAAGTTTCATTTATACAATAAATCTCAGGGTTTTGCTCTTTTATGAGTTAGAACTCATTTCTTTGAGAAAGTTCATGAGTTCTAATCACTGTATGAATTCAGTATTTAGATTTAAAAGCTTAATAATGTTATTTGGGATTAAAAAATTTAGCATCTTGAGTTCATAAATCACTTTATACATCATATAGTTTTGAACTCAAATTTGTCAAACCAAACAAAGTACTGTGTTATTTTTTTGGCTTTTAAATTTTTTAGCTTATAATTATTTGTGCATTATTAAGTCTTTGTGATTTTTTTAAAATTTGACTGTACTGAAATAACTAATTAAACACTTTCTAATATATACAAAATAACTTTATTTTCCCTAATTGATTATTCCAGGTTACAGGTGCTTATTAATCTAATCTCGAAGCTAATCAAACTATGATTTATCTGTTGCCATTCATTATTAGTTTCTGGTTATTGGAGTTAACCTCCTTAGAATATCTGTCATGAAGTAATTACGTATATTAAATGTTTATCATGTATTTATTAGGAACATTGTATTATTTTTACATGTATTATATATAAATATTTAGGAGTTTTTGAATTCTAATCTTGTTTTTGATTTTTCAGCTTCTAACTCACAAGTGGCATGAGCTTTTAGTGCTCACCACGTGTGCCTTCCTAGCCATCAGAGGTTCACCACCCATTGATGTATCACAGGCAGTGGCAACAGCTCTTTGCTCTCTGAGGGAATGTCTTACTATTATGGTTGGAGAACCAGTTGGTTTGGAAGAGCTTAGGGAAGCTGGGCCTTTGGTTGAGAGACTGGCACGGTTGGCTGATACATTTAGAAGGATGGGTCTTTGTGTTGAAGAATATGTTTGTCTGAAAGTAATCATCATGCAGTCCCCAGGTATGTTCGTTGTATATTTATGATTTAGATTGATTTAAATTATGTACACCTGACCAAAAGAAAAGGGGGTGCAGTTCTATATCTCCTGTTCTACTGGACAGCTTGTCAAAATTTAACTTGCGATTTCCATGTCTCAAAAGCGTGACTCAGGATATGTATTAGATTTATATATAGCATTGTTCTAACATAGGTATTTGGACACAAAATCGATTCTATGACTCAAATTATGACTAGATATTTAATTTTGTAATTTTTGGTGAGAAATTAAAAAATTTATCTCGGCACATTTTTTCAGTTTGTGCCAAGAATAATTAATTCACTTGATGAAGTTCTTAATTTATAGCAACCTCAATCAAAAACAAAGTCCAACATTAAGAATCAGCGTAAATTAAAAAAAATAGTTTCAATATTTTTTTAACTACCTTCTTCAGCTGCTAAGTGCAATGATTCTTAATGGTGGACTTTGTTTTTGATTGTTATTCAGCATGATATTTAAACTAATTTATAGCAACCTATTTTCCTTTCCTTTTTTTCATTGTACATGAGCGGTAAAAAGGTCATCATTCATACTTTAAATTAATTTTAACAACATTTGGCGTTATTATCACTTATAACAAATATGCCAAATTTCAAAATGTGGCAATGTAAATTTATGTATATCTTAGGAAATTTTGAATAAAAAGCTTCAATTTTTTGCAGATATGCTTAGAAAAACATCTGCTTTAAGGTGATGGTAAAACTTTATAGGTAATAATTCAAATTGTTTCCAAAAATTGTAGAAATTTAAAAAATAAATTATAAAAAATGGGCGAATTTTATTTGGAATGAACCTAAATTTCAAAATGTGAAAGGAGGAATGAAATAAGTTAATAAAAAAAAGATGCTAATAAATATATTTTAAATTCAATTAACATGGAAGAGCTAAGATTTTGAGAGCTAATTTTTTAAACTACTTGTGCAATTTTTACAAAAATTGGCACTTTGGCATAATTGTCCTAGAATCGAAATGTGGAAAAAAAAAAAAAAAAAAAAAATTGGAATATAATTTCAGAAAAAATCTGATTTTGTGTCAAAAGAGCTATGCTGTACATAGAATAATGCTATATATAAATCTAATATATATCCTTAGTTGCAGTTTTGAGACATGTAAAGTGCAAGTTAAATTTGGACAATTGGTCCAGTAGAATAGGAAATCAAGGTTCTACATATTCAACTTTTGTTTCGAAACTTTGAGCATACTTATCTAGAAGAGTTCTCTAGTTTAATTTCTTTGTTTTTTTTATGTTATTAGTTTTCATGTAAATATTAATACAGTCAAAAGTCGTTAATTCAGACCTCAAAGCTAAAAACTTTCTGCGCATGTGCCGCGTTGACACATGCGCGCATTTTTGCATGCGCGTAAGACCTTTACGACTGCGCATATGCGTGTGCGCTAGCGCAAAATACGTTTTTGCGTGCGCGTTTTATGTATAACGGATGGTATAAGCTAAAATTATCTAATTATCTATTTCAGTTAATGTTGATGATTGCGTTGTTCCTTAATCTTTGAGTTGGATCTGGCTTATTATTTTTTGCAGACTGTAAGAGCAATTTCATAAAAGTAAACTTTAACTTTCGATTATGTCAAATAGAATTTCCGATGCTGGAGCTCCCAAAGGATCTACAAAACGAAAGTATGTTTCGATGTCCATCAAACAAAAAGTGGAATTGCTGCAAAAAATGGATAACGACATGAAGAAGGTGACAGAGAGGTTAGTGAAAACGAAAAAATTTCGATTGACAAGTTAGTCAGTATTCTCGGCACAGCAATTACGGGACTTGAACAGCGGAACTTTGTAACTAAACAAGAAATTATGTCTGTTTATAGAATTAAAGAGAAAGTATTATCACATAAAACGAAGCAACTTGAACAACTTACATTGAAAGAAATGTTTAATAAAGTAATCAAATAAATATTAAGCTTTTTTTGTAAATTTTGATACCCTTTAGATCATAATTGTTCTTTATTTCATAAATTACGGTTTCATATTTTTAATTTTAGAATTTCTGCATGCCATCTTACGAGATTTAAACTGATGATCTATAATCCGGAAAAATCGATAATCCGGAATCGCCGAACTCCCGACGAGTCCGGATTAGCAACTTTTGACTGTACACTATTTATATATCTGGATTTGTTTTCAGAAAATACTATTACCAGTCTTTGTAGAGTTTTATTTTATAAGAAATAAGAATTATAATCTCTCTTAAGTGTTTATAATTGAATGCATGTAGTGGTATTTTTTCTAAAGTAAGATTTGCATCTATATTTCTTTCATTTAAAATAATAAAGAAAAGAAATGAATGCTTATTTTCTGATCTAACAACTAAGTTTTTTTTTTGGGGGGGGGTTAAAAAAATTGAAATTTAGTTTTGTTTCAGAAACAAAGTTATTTCAATCACATGCTTTTGTGACATTGATTAAACTTTGCATAGCCTGGTTCTTTAGTTTAAATTATTGCTCACCGTTTCCAGCATGTTTCTGTGAATTTAAAAAAAAAAAAAAAAAAAAAAAAAAAAAAACTCGTATATTGTGGTTAACAGTTTGCATCTTTTATTAGTTCGATTGTGAATTATTTTAAACCTTAAATTTTATATGAAGATTTTAAATATAAAATAATGAAAATTTAATATTTTAAATTTTCTAAAATTATTTAATTTAAATGCAGTGAAACATATCTGTATTAGATAATGCATTTGATGAACGGTTTGAGTTTATGAAACCACATAATCTAGTAATGTCATTCAGTTTCATTTCTTAGCAGAATGAGTTGTTTATGCTTTTTTGATTAGTTACTGTGTGGTATTAACTGTGTGGTAATCTAGATTTAAATACATTTTTTATAATCTAATATTATTTGGCATTGGAAAGTCTAATAATTTCAGCTTTTAAATTAGTTTTCTTTTTGATTCAGTTTTAAACACAGGTTGCTTGAATCAAACAGGAGTGTTCTATAATTTTTTTCCTCCAATCCCTTGCATGATGTGTAATCAACCTCTTGATAATTTTTTTTTTACCCGCAATGGCGAGCCCTGAGCTGACTCCGGCTTGGCCACTACTAAGGCCGGAATTGGTGGTCACTTTATTATGGAGGAATCCTAATAGGTAAGCCACCTTTGCCTCCTATGAAGAGGGAGACAATTACAGCCATGCCTTCTTTGGGATTTGAACTCGGGCTTTTGCTCTTGGTGAACTGCAAATCATTGCTAATTTGTGCATCTTGGCAAACATCCAATGTCACTACGCTAAAACAATATTTTTAATAGTCACTGTTTTTAAAAACTTTTCCAAGTAAAAAATTAAGTAGGAGTACTTTATTTTCGTTTTGTGATTTCCCCTATGTTTAATTTGAATACAGTCAAAAGTCGTTAATCCGGACTCATCGGGACTTCGGCAATTCCGGATTATCGATTTTTCCGGATTATAGATCATCAGTTTAAATCTCGTAAGATGGCATGCAAAAATTCTAAAATTAAAAATATGAAACCGTAATTTATGAAATAAAGAACAATTATGATATAAAGGGGTATCAAGATTTACAAAAAAATCATCAGTTTAAATCTGGTAAGATCTCATGCAGAAATTATAAAATTAAAAATATGAAACCGTAATTTATAAAATAATGAGCAATTATGATCTAAAGGGTATCAAAATTTACAAAAAAAGAAGCTTAATATTATTTGGTTTACTTTATTAAACATTTCTTTCAACGCGCGCATGCGTAAAGCATACATTACGCATAGTCGAAATTAGAAAATTGCAACCAGAAAACTATTTGATTTGTATTCGTGATATTTATAATGACGAGGAATTTGATTTAAATCATATCAAAGACGGAGTAGATCGAGATGAAATACAACATTTAGTAAGGAATTATGAGCCGACTAAAATAAAAACATCTGCCCTGAAGATAACGATAGTGCTGACAGATCAGCTTACAGTTCATTGCTAGCCATGACGCCTCCCCCCTCCTGCACAGAGCAGCGTGAGATTGATAAACAGATTTCGGAACGGTTAGATAAACAAAGGATATGCCTTTATCCATTTTTTGTAGCAATTCCACTTTTTGTTTGATGGACATCGAAACATATTTTCATTTTGTAGATCATTTGGGAGCTCCAGCATTGGAAATTCTATTTGACATAATTGAAAGTTCAAGCTTACTTTTATAAAATTGCTCTTACAGTCTGCAAAAAATAATAAGCCGGATCCAATTCGAAGATTAAGGAACAACGCAATCATCAACATTAACTGAAATAGATAATTAGATAATTTTAGCTTATACCATCCGTTATTAAACGCGAACGCGAAAACGTATTCTACGCTTACGCAGATGCATATGCAAGTCGTAAAGGTCTTACTCGCACGCGTAAACGCCTATGCGCATGCGCAGAAAGATTTTAGCTTTGAGGTCTGGATTATGGGTGTCCGAATTAACGACTTTTGACTGTATTTATTTATTTACTTTATTAAACATTTCTTTCAATGTAAGTTGTTTAAGTTGCTTCGTTTTATGTGATAATACTTTCTCTTTAATTCTATAAACAGACATAATTTCTTGTTCGGTTACAAAGTTCCGCTGTTCAAGTCCCGTAATTGCTGTGCCGAGAATACCGACTAACTTGTCAATCGAAATTTTTTCGTTTTCAGTAACCTCTCTGTCACCTTCTTCATGTCTTTATCCATTTTTTGCAGCAATTCCACTTTTTGTTTGACGGACATCGAAACATACTTTCGTTTTGTAGATCCTTTGGGAGCTCCAGCATCGGAAATTCTATTTGACATAATCGAAAGTTCAAGTTTACTTTTATAAAATTGCTCTTACAGTCTGCAAAAAATAATGAGCCGCATCCAATTCGAAGTTAAGGAACAACGCAATCATCAACATCAACTGAAGTCGATAATTAGATAATTTTAGTTTATACTGTCCGTTATATATTAAACGCGCACGCGGAAACGTATTCGTGCTTGCGCACGCGCATATGCGCAGTCGTAAATGTCTTACCCGCACGCGTAAAGGCCTATGCGCATGTGTCAACGCGGCGCATGCGCAGAAAGTTTTTAGCTTTGAGGTCCGCATTATAGATCATTCTGGATTATGGGTGTCCGAATTAACAACTTTTGACTGTATTTGTTAGTTTTCTGCAGTAATTAGTCCCCCCCGCACTAAATTCAATGTTTGTTGTGCAAGTGACCTCATGAAAGTTATTTCTATTTAAGAAAATTGTCATGGCATTAAAGACCTAAATCTAATTAAGTGTAGTGCAATTATTTATTTCATATTAAAAAAAAAGCTTGTATTTCATAGCAGTAATGTTTAAAAATTTAATGTTTGTTACATGTATAAATGTATAAAAATATTTCCTTGTTAATTAAAGGATGTTTATTGGCATTAGATGCATAACTTTATAAAAAGTAAAACATATTAAAATGGAATATTTATTTTACCGAAAGTTAAACATGAAAAATGTGAAAATGTATCTCTTATATTAAAGCAAAAAATATTAACTGAGAAATTTTGGTACTTTCTGATTATCCACATGAACTAATGAGAAGCCTCCATTTCTTTGTCAATTGTGGGGGGGGGGAAAGAAAATATTTGGCCATCTGTATGGCTTGTTATTACTGTATGGCTATTATTAAAAATGGTAATAAAAAGAAACATTTTAAAAGAAATGAGAAAATTTTTGATAAACAAAAATCTATATGGGTAATATTTACATTTGTTTGACAGGTTCTGTAAAATGATGGTAAAATACAAAGCATGTAAATCCATACATAGTTAGACACGTGTAGTTTGTGCATACATGGTTTTTTCTATTGTATATTAAAAAATACGTCCAAAACATGACAGTTGTACTGAATGTTGAAACCGAGATTGTAGGCGATCAGAAAGTATCTTATTATTAGTTAATAAAATAAAATAATTAATTTTTGTTTTTTATTCAAAATTTTTTAGAAGAAATTAAAGACCAGAAGGAGTTAGAAGCCATCCATGACAGGTACATGAAAGCACTTCGAGTGTTCGTCGAGCATAGGTTTCCCCAGCAAACTACAAGGTTTGCGGAGCTTCTCAGCTGCATACCAGAAGTCCAGGCAGCAGCTAGTTTAGTGGTCCAGAGTAAAATGTTCTATGTGCCTCTGTTTCTCAACACTAGCCTTAAAAGTGAGACAGTGGGATAAGTGGGGTGGTCATCACCAAGGGTGCTCAACTTGCAGAATTTCATCTATTCTGCCTTTTTTTATATAAACGTTTTGTTTTTTAATATATGAAAATGATATCATTCATGAAAGGGCGTGTGCTGCTGGAAAAAAGAAGAAAAGCTTCAAAAGGAAACTTGCAAAGGCAGTTGGTTTCATGTGGATCAAGAAATTATAAAATTCCATTTGAGTTTGATATTTCTTCCAAACATTTTATATGTAGTCAAACCTAAACTAAGTTTTTCCATCAAGGTAAACATGCATAAGTTTCCAATCTTTAGCATGTTCCTGAATGCTCAAGATCCTAAGCATTCCAAGTTTTACAAAAAGTTATTGCCATTTGGTAAAAAAAAAAAAAAAAAAGAAAGAAAATTTTTTTTTTTGTTTTGCATTTACAAGGAATGCAAAATATTAATCCTCCTTATTTGGTACGAAAACATGTAATATAAAATTGGCACGGGTGGTTTTCCACAGTGAACTGACTTTCATATAACATCACCTAGTGGGGCAAATTACACATTTCAAGAAAAAGGCACCGAAGGACATTGTATTAATACAAGATTTGTAAGTATTAAGAAAAGTGACGTGTGAAAAGACTGATTGCATTAAAACTTAAAAGTGAAGGCCTCAAAACTATTTTAGCTAGCTCTTTCACTGCCATCGTTAAAAGATTGCAAAGTGCTTCAGTTCCTAAACATCATAGGAACTGGTGTCTAAAATGGCTTATTTATTGATGAATAACTGTGAGCTGAAAGTTCTGACTTGCATTTGTTGGGTGATTTTTAAAAGAATCATCAGTATTGATAAAGAAGGGAAGGAATAGAAACAGAGCATTGTCAGAGTTGTTATTGTACAGTAATGCTTGTTGGTCACATCCCTCTTGTGCCATGAAGTTTGCACAAAACTTTTTGTGGAAAGAGAAAGGTAGTTCACTACATAGTGAAAAGTAATTTCTTGCTAGAAAAGTTTAGAGCTATTTGTTTAGTGAGTGTGTAATAATGAAGCAAGATTAAGCCCGGTTATAAATGTGTGTCCTTTGTAAGGAAGTTATATCGAAAGAAAATATTCAGCTATGTGAAACTGTTAGCATTCTTTGAATGTGTGATATTGTGTGAGTCAGATTTGCATGTAAATGAAGCTAAATTATCTTAATTTGTATCCTGACACAAGTTTTCCTACTTTTTTTTTATATTAAAATGTGTTAAAAATCATGCCAAATTACAAAAATATACATTATCTTAAAGTATAAATGTTTCAGAATGTTTCAGAAATGCTAAAGTGTTATGTCATATCTGGTTTGATTAGTATAACTGAAAATTTCAGAATAGTTGCTGTGCTCAATCCAAAGAATACAAAGTTAGCATAGAAGCATAAAAAAGAAAAATTGCTTTATTTTCAAAAATGAGCTTTACAAGAGAAGAGTTTTATGTATATATATATATTTCTGTTTCATCTCCTCTTTTTTTTCCCCCTTCTGAAGTTTAGAAATTGTTACTTTTAAGGAACACAGCCTAGCTTTCAAATTCATTCACAACATTGTTTTAATTGTTAAAACATCAGATGTCTTAAACAGAAAATAAATCTTCTTCCATCTTTTGTAATTACTATTTTTTTAACAATAAAATTAAAGTTTTTAAAGCATAGAAGCTTTAACATGCTATAATGTATGGATTTTTTAAGTAAAAATTTCCCTCTTATAATCTAAGTAATCAGTTAGTTCAATAAAATTTGTCTCACTAGTACTGTTGCCAAATTATTTAATTAATTGTGTCAAATAATTAACATTGCTTTTAGAAATGTTTCACATGAAGTTAAATGTTATATAAGAAAATTTGATTTTATAAGATATCATTTATTGCAATTAACTGAATCTAAAATCGATGAAATTTTATTAGCTCAAATTTTTTCAAGCTTTATTGTTGTTATTTTATTTTGTGAATATTAACTAAAGTTGATGTCAGTTATAATTCATTTTGCTGAAACTTTTTTTTTTTTCCTTTTCCTTTTGATGCATTAAACACAAATGCATCATCTAAGAATTTTCATAGTTTTTTTATTTAATGTTTTAAAATGTAAATTTAATGACACTAATGCATTTTTATGAAAATTAATTTATTTAATATATAATGTCTATGGTTTTTTAAATGTACATAGTTCATGTAAAAAATTCTGTATTTAAATTCAGTTTTTATTTTTCCACTAACAGTGCATGTCATTGCATATTTTATATATTTGAAAGTGCTCTTTTTAAAAAAAAAGCATACTGTCTTACTTATGTACATTTTGACTTTAAAATTTTCATGCCATATTTTCTGTATGAAAATTTATTTTACCACAGTTTGGAATCTAAGTATTATTTCATTGTATGATATATTTGATCTGTGCTAGGAAAAAAAAAACACAGTATCTAAATTTTAGTGTTTAATTTAAATTGTTTTCATATACACCAAAAAATACTGTTTTGAAATATGCGTAACATTAGAAATTTTTATCGAATTTAGGTGGAGTGTGTTGTGTTTGTTCTTAAAATAATGAATTATATTTATGGCCTGTGAAGAAAATTAAATTTGAGATTGTATTTAAATTTACAGTTAAGTGTTGATTATTTTGGTCTTCTGGTTTTGCCAAGCATGTAGTTTCTGGGATACAGTAAAATAGTTGTTACTATATGCTTAATTTATACAATTTTTTAAGCTTTACTTTTTTATATGGGTATTATAAATTTTTTTAAATGTTTAATATTTCTTGTACCTAGTAAAAAACTGAAAAATTTCCTGAAATGAATTTTAGAATATTCTGAAGACATTCTGTGATGAAATATTTTAATTTAAAATGCTTTTGATGAAATATTTTAAGAGTATTTTAATTTAAACTGCTTTTGATATTTTCCACTGGCAAAGAAAAATTAGCATAGTTTTTTACTTAAATATTTTCAGAAGATTGTATAGAAATATGATCAAAATTCCAGTCTTGATATCCCGCCAGAATGGCCGAAGCAAGTATTTGATAGCAAAGTTGTTAAAAATAAGTGTTTTTAAATGAAGAATATATGTAAAAGTAGTTGTGTAAATTACAAGTGACTAAGAAAGAATAATGTTGGAATCCAAATTATCTTTTGACAAAATGGCAATGGCCTGTTGTGATTACCAGGAAGCACCGCCCACCGGCCACTAGTCAGGCTGGGCATAAGGTGGCCCAGCCCCTATATGTATTTACATGTATTCGTGTTTGTTTATTATTGTGCATTTTCAACATACATGTCAATGTAAAAAATTTTAAAAAAATTAAAAAAAAAAAGTTAAATAGCCATTGCAAAGAACAACTGAATGAATGAATGTATGTGATGTTTATAGAAACTTTTCATCCTTTATACTGTATTTGTCGTTTGGCCGGACATTTGGCTGCTTCCTGTTTTTTCTTTTCTTTTCCAGAATAAATCATACTTTACAACTCAGTATGTGTGTTTTTCTATTGCTCATACAGATATTAAGGTTTGTACACCTTGAACACACACACAAAAAAGGGGGGAGGGAAGGGTACCTTTCCGTTTTGCCGGCGCATGCGATAAAGTCGCCAATAATGGTACAACTGATGCCAAACGGAATATTCTCACAGGTAACCTTTTTCGCCTCATCTTCAAAACAAGTTGCAGCCATTTCTTATCAGATTGATTGTTTCTTTCAATACTGGCATACAATTACATAGAATTTTTACCAGATAGTTAAATGTTATGCCCTAAGGACATTCTCGGTAATTAAGTCAACTAGGATGCAATCACACCGCTTACCCGAAGGCAAAGTCAAGAGATAAAATTCATTAATTCTAATGATAATGCACTAGCGAAGTACAGCACTGCGGTTTTACATAATTTCTGACTAAGCTGTTCGTACGAATTGAAATAACTCTTGCATTTAAACTAGTATTCCAAATTAAGATTGAACTTGAAATTAATGTAAATAATTACTGAGAGAATTAAATTTTTGTAGCGTAGTTTACGTGAGATGAGATCATTTGGGGTCACGTGATATGAACCGGCGAATCAGGATGTGGAAACATAAAAGCATAGTAAATTCTTAAATTTAATGTCTTTTTACAAATTTATTGTCTTTATTTATTGTTTTTTTTTACAAATTTATTAAAACCAGTAATAATGTCTTTTTACAAAATAATGTCTTTTTACAAATTTATTGTCTTTAGTTATTGGTTTTTTACAAAATTTTAAACGATATTAAAATGTGTATGCTTTCAAAATAAAAAATTCTTAGAACTAACATTTGTTAACATTTTTAATGTGTATTACTTGTAAAGGGTATATTGTCGCCAATAAAGTCTGCTTGGCGAGATTTGCGCCGACGAAACGGAAAAGTACCAAAAAAAAAAAAAAAAAAAAAAAAAAAAAGAATCAAATCTGACATGTTCTTCGCACTTAAACCTTAAAATTCAGTTCAACAGCTATATCACAAAATAATTTTAAAAGGAGCATATCTTTAGAATTTCTGATACATAGTCTCCCACGCTGGAAATAATAATAAAAATTTCTCCCCCTTCCTGTACAGTGTTGCCATTGCTCGCTTTGAAATCGTTGAGTTTGTTAATATAAAATTCATTTAAGTTTTAAAAAGTATGAAATAGTAGATAATAAAACCAATTCCAAATTTGGGCTTTCAGGTGCCCATATTCGGGTGGAAACGTACATTATTCAAAATTTGATGGCTCTAGGTACCATTGTTTTATCACAATGCAAGAAACATACATACGCTTATACAGATTTTTCATTATTTAATTTATTTAAATATAATACAGGGCTCTAATATTTGGTTGCACTAATTTGAAAAGTGAATTAACGCAAAATGACAAAAGGAAATTAATAATCCTACTGGGCAAATTGTCCCTTTTGGCTAAAAAAATGAAGACAGTGCTATATCTCCCGTTCTACTGGACCGATTATCGAAATTTAACTTGCATTTTCCATGTTTCGAAAGTCCGACTTGTGATATATATTAGATTTATATAGCATTGTTCTAACGTAGGTATTTGGACACAAAATTGGACTTTTTCTGGAATAACATACCATTTGTCTTCCGTATTTTGATTCTGCGACTCAAATCATGCCTAGATATTAAATTTTATAATATCTGGTGAGAAATTAAATTTTATCTTGGCATATTTTTTCATTTTGCGCGGGGGCTAATTAATTGACTTGGCAAACCTTTTAATTTATAGCAACTTATTTTCCTTTCCTTTTTACGAGCCGAAAAAAAGTTCATCGTTTATACTTTCAAATAATTTTAGCAAAAGTGCGTAAACCACATTTGGCGTTATTATCGCTTATAACAAATATGCCAAATTTCAAAACGCGCCAATATGTAAAAACGTGCCAAATTAAAATCTTAGGAAATTTTTAAGAGAAAACTCAATTTTTTTGCAGGTATGCTTAGAAATACTTTAATATGATGGTAAAAATTTTATAAATTATAATTCAACTTTTTTTTCAAAAAATTTATAAAATTATTTAAAAAAAATCATAATAAAATTTTATTTGGAATGAACCTAAATTCGAAATGTGAAAGGAAGAATGAAATAAGTGAAATAAAAAAAAACAGATATTAATAAATATATACCAAATTATTATATGTAGAGATTGAATTAACACGAGGAACTAAAATTTTAAAAGCGAATTTTTTAAAAACTACTCGTACGATTTTTACAAAACTTGGCACTCTTGCACAATTTGAGTCGTGGAATCGAAATATGGAAAAAAAAAATATTACGGAATTTCAGAAAAAGTCCGATTTTATGTCAAAATTCGTATGTTAGAACAATGCTAAATATAAATATAATATATATCAATTGGTTCAGTAGAAGGAGAGATATAGAACTCTTTTTTTTTTTTTTTTTTTTTTCTCAAGGTGTACATATAAGTTATTGCTGGTACACTTATTAAGAATTGTTCATATAAGTTATTGCAGTTTTAAGTTTAAAAATTGAAGCTGACTGTTTTGATTAAATTTCTTCACTTTTTTGAGTAGACACCTAATTCCAGTGTGTGGGTTGTAGTGCATAACAAAAAATTTGGAAATCAGAAAGATAAAGAGTGTTTTGTTAGATTGTTTTATATAAACGAAATCATTGCATTTCTTTAAATTCTAAGACTCTTTCTTTTTAATTTTTACTTATTAATAAAAAAAATTATGTATACATGAATTCATGTGAATCGTGATAAATAATTTAATTGCCACTTTCCCCTTTTAAATGTTCACCTCAAAATTTTTTATCTGTATGTGTATTTATACACTGCGGCCCACCAGAATAAAATACACTTCCAAAATGGTTTGATTGGATTGGCTGTTCTAGGTAATGAGTGGAGATCAGTGCATTTTAATCAAGATTTAAATTGCATGAATTACTCTCTTACAAGGCCATCCCTGAGTTTTGGTATCTGTTATGTTGTGGCGTAAGGTAAAGTATGGCTTTAATAATTCTAAATATAAGATTTTATTTAACTCTATAAGCAGTCTAACCATTTTACCTAACTCTTCAACTGGCGTAGGAAGAACCTTTTCCCAAGTAAAAAATAAAACCAAAAACTGTGAAAGATTGACTAATGGCAAAACAGGTAATAAATAGATCTAATTAAAATTGTTGTCTATGACAGTTTAAATCAGAATTGGTTAAAGAAGTCATACAAGGAACTTGAGGTACGGAGAATGTTTGGATGAAATGAAAGAATTAAAAAGAATAAATGTGGAGGGGCTGTGTAGAATGAAAATTCTGATTAAAATTAAGTAGAAGATATGTATGCAAGTTAAATTTTATCTCATTTGTGTTGCTATACTATATAATGAAAATTAGGTGTATTTCGGGTTTTTTAAATTGCAGTCTAATTCTTTAATAAATTTTTGAGGGAGATCCGTGTCGCCACAGCTTTCTTTTATCACAGCGAAGGTCTATTGGTTTGTCGTGTATAGTGCTGCCATCTAACGCCCATTGCGTTAAATATTCAGGCATTACAGCGATAATTTTTGTCAGTTATAATACAACGTTATTTTATTAATTTGTGCTGCTATACTATATAATGAAAATTAGGCGTTTTCGGGTT